CGTTTCGGGATTTGTTTGGTAGGTGATTTGGTTTATAGATCGGTGTTTAACCATATACTCAAACAAAGCTCAGAAATAGAAAATAAGAATTCTTTATATTTTTTCAAGAGATCAGTTACACCAAGTTATCACCAATTGGTTTATAGATCGGTGATTCGGTTTTATTTTTATTTAATTATTTTTTTTTTTGATTTTTCTTGGAATAAAATAAAAAGAAAAATAATTGCCTTTCCCCGGCAACGGCGCCAAATTTGACGTGCACTTTGTCGTGATGTGCACTCAAAATAATAATACAATACAACACTTATACGTAGTATAGCGTAGTAAGGTTCGTATCCGCAGGGAAAGGAATACTTCTCTTTTTATAACTAGTAATAAGGGTTTTTTTTTAGATTTGTTGCTGAAGAACTTTTTAGAATATTAAAACACAAAGATGAACGAGTTATGTGGTTTAATTAATGAGAAGAAGACTTGGTTTTGCTTTTATCCACTTAATGAAATGTTCGTCGATCCCGGTTATATCTTTAACTATCTTCCTCTCGAATACTCAATCGAGGAGTATATCCAGTTCATCGAGGGTAGTTATTAATAACGAGATGCGTTCATTAATAAAACTTACTATCGAGTCAATATAGAACAAGCGCCGTATATTAACTTGATAGTAGCAATAAACTTAAGATGAAAACGATTGAGATTGATAACCTCAACACAAGCGGTTTATTGGTTTAATCAATATAATAAATTCCCCTTGACTTATTAATCATGAGAAGCATGCATTAACAACCCAAGTTTACTACCATTGAAAGAACCGAATTAATAACAAGCGTATTAACCGATTGATTCTAGTAATAATTAATATATGAAACAAAACTAGTTGATCCTTTAAGTAATGTTCAAAATATTAATATGAAATATGAATAGGAATTAATTAATACTCAAGGAAGAATATTAAAGAAGAAGAATCCTACTATAGTTAATATCAAGATGTTAACTAATTGTCATCTTAGTAACACTCCCCGATATTAACGTAGATGAAGAAATAACTATTACTATAACTAATGTCAAGATGTTAACTAATTGTCATCTTAGTAACACTCCCCAACATTGATATAGAAATAGTATTTAAAGGAAGAATTAATATTCAAGGAAGAAGATTAAAGATAATAACTCACAACTTACAAATTCATTAAGCTTCAAAGTAGCAAAACCAAGATGGAAGAGTTTAGCTCCTCATTTGGAGACTAAACATGATAGAAAATATAAAGAAAACACTAATCTAAACTGAGCTAAAGAGTATATGTGAATTGGTGATTTTATTGGGAAGGAAAGGGGTGTATTTATAGGCTTTTGGGAGCTGCAGGGTCTGATACCCGACCGGGTATATAGGATACCCGACCGGGTATCTCAGGAAATTGCCCAGAAAGTGATTTTTCTGGGCATACCCGATCGGGTAAGGGTATATACCCGATCGGGTATGTGACAAATCTTTATGAAAATTTGCTCCCACGATCATTTGTCTTCGGATTTGATTTGGACAGTCGAATCAAGCAATTACCCGATCGGGTATAGGCAATACCCGACCGGGTACATGAGTATTTTTTCCAAATTGAAATCTTTCTTGTCTCCTTGCACTTTCCTTGATCTTTTAAGGTCCAATCTTGATCCATTAGATGATCTTTGACCTGTTTAGCTCAGAAAAATCCTAATCTGACTAAATTATAAATAAAAATGAAAATAAAGTATTACACCAAAAGTGTGTAATTTCCACAACTAGAACTAATAAAAACTAGTTAAAAATACAAACATACAATCGGAAATTACATGAATATCAATCACTAAAGAGAAAGCATGGAAAACAATATGCCTTATGTGTGTTGGAGAGTATTCCAACCAATTAAATTCATTGAACCAATTAGCTTGAAAACAATGTATCCTATCTTTGTACACTCGGCCTTTGTAAAAGTTCAATTTCGGTTGATAATGCCCAGCCAAGCCACCCCTCCCTCTGCCCCTAAGGATAATCCAATTTATAAGTATAAGAATGATGTTTTTTATACAAAATATTTTCTTATATAATTAAGGATGAGAACGTGTTCACTAAGTAACACATTGATATGATTACAATGAAGTTTCTTACTTTTTATAATATTAATAGATATGTGCACCTGTATAACTTTAATTTTTATAAATATACCCCGTACTTTATCCTATATTTTTTTTATTTTGTCATATCGTCGTACCCGTTTTCGCGTTTATGCGTTTCTCTTAGATAGTCACATTTTATGTATTGGTTAGTTTGGGAGTTAAATAAGAAGCAATTCCTGCGCGCCTAACGTACAGCTACTAGCTAGCTAGATCAACTCAATGACATACATGGGGAATTGAATGCAGAAATTAAAATAACGTACGTATTGATTGTTGCCAGCAAGTTTTAGTAGTTTTTGTTGCAACTTCAATTCCACCTACCCATACATCATACATGCAGGCTGCTTTCAACTCCTCATGAATTCCTTCGGCTCCACTTTTTTTGTTATTACTTAGCTCCTATAGTATTTGCTTTCTTATCCTTTTTCGTGTTCCAAACCTCTGATGTGTCGGGTGACGGGTATACATGCCTCGAGTAAGCTAAGACATCTGTTATCATTTTGATTTCTGCTTAATTACGCAATTTTGAATTCATCTAATTCTAAAGCAGTATGTCATGAATTGTCCGAATTAGAATTTAACATTATCAAAGTTTCTAAATATATAGTACTCTCTAATTTTATAATTCCCAAAATAAAAGGGGTTTTGTCCTTAATATTACCAATAAGTGGATGATTGACAAAAAAGTGACCTTTAATTTAATTTTCCAAAAGAGTGACTGAAACTAACGGTGTTACATTAACGGTGCGACAATGACACAGTGCTACAGTAATGGTGCTACAGTGACATTTGCAGTGACACATTAAGACAATTTTACAGTGACATTCCACGATGTTTACCGCCCATCCACCGGCCAATGACACCACCACCAGTGACACCATCATAGTGACACGATCTTCACCAGTAACACCACCATAGTGACACGACAGCCACCGGTGACACCGCCACCGGTGACACACCGACTCCGGCCACTCTGACCCGCTGTCTCCCCATTCTTCCCCGACTCCTCACAGCCCCGTCACCAGCCTACCCCGCCATATCGCCGCCGCCGACCATCACCTTAGACCATCGCCGCCAACCACCACCCCATCCCCGACTTGACTCCCCACTCCCCAGTCACCTCCCCAGCCACTGCCACCGGCCCTACCACTGTCGCATTGACCCGGCCGCCGAGGGTTGTCATCGCCAGTCACCACCACCAGCCAACCGCCCTTAGCCCAAACCTCCAGCCCCTATCAAGCCCCAACACCCCAAAACCATGTCCAGTCCTTCCCTGCCTCAGGCGCAGCCCCCCAGCAACAGCCTCATCTCACCCCACAACCCGTCCTAGCCCCTACAACTGCGGCATCCCACCACCACAACCCGCCTCCAAGCTGTCGCACCCAGCCACAACCCCAAACCCTACCTCAATCCCCTCCCCCTGCCCCAGGCCCCTACACTCACCCACTCTCGCATCCCCTGCCAGCACTCCTCAGCCCAACGCCACCCCCAATTGCGTTTCTGCTAGGGTTGTATATGAACCGAATCGAGTCGAATAGTGAGATTTTGTATTTGTATTTGTTTAAAATTTTCGAATACGAATCCGAATTCAAATATGAAATGAATATTAATTTTGATTTGTATTTGTATTTGTTTAACAATACGAATATTTAACGAATCATATACGAATATCGAATCGATTTGAGCATAAGTTAAATATTAGTCAAATATCACTTTAAAGTAATTTTCTTATAAATGCATGCTATGACGTAATATGTGTTTTTAAAATTTAATTTTTAAAAAGTACATTTTTCTTTGAAATTTTTTATGGATCGATACATTTATAAATTTATATTTATTAATCATAAAATTGATTGACTTTAGTATATTGTGCACAACCTATAAATGTATCGATCCATTATACGATAAACACTAACACACATATATTAGAAATTATACTTATAATGTGTGAAACAAGTTGATAATTGTATACTTCATATATCGTAGTCAAACGCCTATAATTTATTCTTTGAATCGAATACATAATTATTTGTATTCGTACTTGAACAAAAAATCTGATTTGTATTCGTATTTATATTCTATATTTTCAAATTTAAATCATACTTTTTGACTCCAAACCACGAAGGAAATTAAAATTATTTGCTTCATTTACAATCCTTACTCCGTATGATACTTCTGATTTATTACAAATGCGCTTGAAATTTGTATACATAAATGTATATATGGACTACCCTTTGAGTGTATAGCTATCTTTTAAAAGTTATTATAGTGTTGTTATTATTATTATTATTATTATTATTATTATAATAACACTATTATTAATCGAATATATTTGATTAATATTCGAATCGAATACACTGATATTCTTATTTGTATTTGATAACAATTCGAATCAAATTTAGTATTCTTATTTGTATTTGAATTTTTCGAATTCGAATAGTGTTATACGAATTCGAATCGCGAATCGAGCAAAAATTATTTGATTCGTTTACAACCCTAGTTTCTGCATCACAACGCCGCCCCCAATTGCGTTTCTGCATCACAATGCCGCCCCTAATTGCGTTTCTGCAGCACAATGCCGCCCCCAATTGCGCCTCCGCAGCACAAAGCCTTTCCCCCGAACCCTAAGGGGGGTGTATTCATTCAAGACTTTTTAAGACATTTTAGGATTATGAGATTTTAGGAGACATTTGAGACTTATGTGGATTTGTCAAGATTTGTGTGGATTTGGACATGAGACATATTAAGACATTTTTGTATTTTATTCATTTAACACCTACCTCTTCTTAAATCCTAATACAGCACATTCGTACACCACATAACTCAATTCACCTAAGACAATCATATTTTCAGCAGTCTCAAGTCATAAGCATCATCAACAACACACCAATAACGGTCTGTTACTCTCTGTCCAACTCATAATTATAACTAAAACATAAATAGAAATGAGGCCAACGATGAAGTTCCACTGGAGAAATGATTTCCCTCAGGCTATTGCTTCAATTGCACTGAGATAATCCCCAGCACTAAAAGATAGTGATTGTCAATGTTATGAAAGCATAAAACAAAAATAACTTTACATAAATGCTACTTGGACAATCACATGACCTATACTAGTTCATAGCATCATTCCACATATTAGATGCTATTGTGTCCCTCCAAGCATTTGCATTAGCCCTTTGTTGTTCTTGACTTGCAAAATATTGTTCAACATCTTCCGCTTCAAAAGATCGAATTTCATCTTCAGGATCAACCGGAAATTCATCAGAGCGACATTCTTTTCGTAGAAAGTTATGCAATCCAACACACGCAAGCACTAGCTCGGCTTGAGTGCGGAAAGGAAACGGGGGTGCTGTTTTGAAAATAACGAACCTTGACTTGAATATCCCAAATATCCTTTCAACCACGTTCCGCAGTGAAGCATGACGAAGATTAAAAAGTTCCTTCGAATTATTTGGATCACGACCTTGACCAGCAAAATCTTGTAGGTGATAGCGGGTACCTCGAAAAGGTGCTAAGAATTGACGTCTATTTGGATATCCGCAATCTGCCAAATAAAAATATCCTACATAATATGGATAAAAATTATAGTTATAAAATCTTTTATAAAAATACTTACAATAGTTGGAAGAATAATAATAGCAAATAGTAATTGTAATAACAATAAAAACACCAAATAAGTGATAGTAGTATATAACAACCGCATTGATTACTACTGATAAAGGCAATATATAATGTCACGCATGCGTACCATTGGGAACTTTCAGACCGTTTTCCCTTGTCAATGCATCGGTCAAAACTTTTGAATCGTGTGCTGATCCCTCCCAGCCACTCAACACATACATAAATTGTAGATCAAAGTTACAAGTAGCCAAAACATTTTGTGAAATAATCCCATGACGATTTCTATAGCTACTTGTTTCACGGCCAGATATCATTGCCGGTATATGTGTGCCATCAATAGCTCCAAGACATTCCTAAAATGAAAAGAGAACATATATAATAAATTCATACAAAGTTATTTTAAGTTATGTGCGAGATATATAAATTATGAACTTACTTTGAAATACGGATAAAATCTGGTACTTTCTCTTATTTTTTCTGGCACCGTACGTCCAGGTTTTGCCATCATTTCAACCGCAAAATGTTGTAGCACCTTCAAAACCTTGTTGAAATTTTGACTAACAGTGAAATGTGATCTTCCAAATGTTTTGCGTAATTGACAATAACGATTGTTCTGACCAACAATAACTAAGAATGTTGCAAGCATTTCCTCAATGCTGACATACCTTGTATCTGCCAACAATTGTTTCTCCCTAATAATATGGCATAATTTCAAGAAAACGTCTGGATACATTCTATAAATATCCCGAAAATCTTTTGGATCTTCCTTCAGGATTTTATGAATATAGTCATAGCCATCTCTAGTTTTTGGTCTCCTCGCAAGTGAGTAACGGTTCACACGATTCTGATGCATTTTAACTACGTGCAAGCTTAACATGTATATGGCGGTCTGAATGACTACAAATAAATATCTAATATGTCTATACATATCTTCTCTACTCTCATCTTCTTCAATCTCATCCATATCACTATCATTATCTTGGGCCATGTCACTATGTGACATTATGTGTACTGTTGAACAAAAAACCGAACCACATTAAGCAAAGAAACAATTAAATCCAAATGCAAATCATGAATACATAATAGTAATGTCCATTACTCATTAAAAACAAATTTCTTAATATACAAGCTGCTGCACCACTCAATATACGATTATTACCAGTAATACTGTTATAGCCATATTGTTACAAGACCCAAAAGGTTATGACTTGAACAATCGACACCCCTAACTCGTATAAAATCAGTCGCAAGTATAAAATAGCCATCATACTGGACTTATGGTTTTATTAACAACAAAACTTATTTTTACAACAAAACTGATTTTTACATTTCTTTTGGGAATTTCATCGAACACTTTGGAGGCAGAATATTTCAACACTTCCATAAATATTAACAATATGGTTCATTCAAACAAAGAATCAGTAACCTGACCAGTGCTTATGAGATGAGCTATAGTATGACTAATCCAGGGGAGAAGCTTATACTATTGGGAAAGGAAATCTTTCATTCATTAAGAAAAGCTAGGGATTTAACAAAGAGGAAAAGAGATAACAAAGCTGCAAGGATTTGATTCTGTGGAATGAAGAAAAATGGCGGTCGAAAAGCAAGAGGGCGGAGAAAATGTTTACCTCTGTCGATTGAAGTTCCGCTGCCGATTGTTGTGTTCGAAGGAGCCAGATAACCTTCGTGCTTGCTAGGATTTCAAATCTCACGTAAAGGTGTGAGATTTGGGTAATGGGATTTCCTTCTATGTTTGGGCTTACAAGTTTGGATATGTCCACATGATACCTAGAATCCATGTCTTGATGTCCAAAATGAATACACCTAGACATTTTAAGAGTTTTAAAATGTCTTAAAATGTCTTGAATGAATACACCCAGATTTGACAAATCCTAAAATGTCTTAAAATGTCTTGAATGAATACACCCCCGTAAGTGTCAATCAACTCGTAGGTAGCCATCAGACACAGTCATTAACAAAACAGCCTCATCCATCGCAATACATGATACAACGACGGTGCGAGCTGAGGCACAGGAGACAGTGCAAGGCATGAGGCACCGACGGTCAAGGCAATGAGGGAGGCTCTCTCGTTCGACGTTGCCGGGAGGCTCCGGCAAATTGGCTCCTGGTTACAACGATGATGGCAAAGATGATGAAGCTCGCATATGCGAGAATGGACGCGAAGCTTGCAGATGCGATGCGAGAATGGATGCGTCGGAGAGAGAAGGGGAGCTGTTTTGACGGGAGAGTGTTTGGACAGAAGAGGGAAGGGGTTTGGTAACTTTCTATCAGTTTTAAAAAGAGACATATTTTTGTCTAATAATGAAAGTAGTGGAGTATTATCTATGTCATTCTTTCAAAATAAAACTCCAGATTAGATTTTTGTCCTACCTGAAATTGATTCAAATCCCGAGTTCCATATGCGCATGTAATACTCCAAAAATTTAAAACAAGACTAGTAAATTTATTTTGGGCCAAAATAAAAAAAATAAAAGTTAATCAGATAAAAACAAAGTTGTATAAGGCAAAATTCTCATAACAACTAAATATGGTCCCAAACTATCCTATGCACCTACATGACTTCATATAATTCATACAAACATAAAATAAACATTTAAATAATAAAATAAAAATAGATTAATATATATATATGTATGTGTATGTATGTATGTACATCTACATGCATGTAATTCCTTAAAAATAGAAATGAATAGATAAAAGTTTTAACATACTACCTGCATCCATTGATACGAGTAAATATTTATGACTTTAAAAATTATTTGATGCTTCAAATTTTAACACTTACGATATAATATTTGTATAAGCTAAGCTCCTCCACCTCCTAATTAAATATGGATGACAATGGCGCAGATCGGGGACAGTTATACATATAACTGTATAAAAATATAATTGTACCCGTCCTGTTGGATCATTTCTCCGCCCCCTAACCGCCCCATTACTCAATGGGTAAATTTTATCCAAATCATAACCGCCCCAATAGGTAACAGGTATAACTGCGAGTAGCCGTAGGTAACCGCTTTATTAAATGAGTCATTGATATTTTAATGGGGTAATTTGAGTTTGCACCCCATATTATTGTCTAAATTGGACTTTGCACCCCGTTTTTAAAACTCTTTGTTTTTGCACCCCAACCCCATATGAAAAGACAAAAATGCCCTCAATCAGGAATATGTTAAAGGTCAACAGAATTGTTAATGGAGGGGCTTTTTTGTCTTTTCATATGGGGTTGGGGTGCAATAACAAAGAGTTTTAAAAATGGGGTGCAAAGTCCAATTTAGACAAGAATATGGGGTGCAAACTCAAATTACCCCTATTTTAATACAAAAAATAATATTTTAAAAGGCGAAAAATGGTATCACCTAGACGACTCTAGACTCATACGCCACTTTTAAATTTTGTATATCTACAAAAGGAGAAAGAAGGCAATCTAGATTAATTTAAACGTAAAAATACTTAACTTGAAAAATAATTAATCACGAAGAAAATATGATAATAGTCAAAAGACTACTAAGATCTATTATGAACTACTACCTCTGTCCCATTAGAAGGTTCCACTACTCACATGTTCAACTTAAATCATTTTTAATCTTTTGCTTTATATATCAAATTTTTATCAAATTTACATTTTTTATCAGGCTCTGTAGCGTTTTTAATGTATTTTTTGAATATGTAAATTTTATTTACTAAAAATAATCAAAGTGTGAACAAGGATTAAGTTACTTTATCGTCAGTCAAGCATCGTAAACCGTTAACGGGAACCTTCTAGATTGGGGAAAACATTATTTATTTCGCAATGGAAGTTTAGAATGTTAATTGTGTTTTCATTGAATTCTAAAATATTTTATGTTATGCAATTAACACCATAAATTTACATTTTTGAAAGAAATAATACTTCGCTATGGTGCCAAAACAACTTTTTATAAAAAGTTTGGGGTATTGAAATTACATATGCAAGTTTGGGGTGTTCATCTCACACCTCATCAAAATTTGGGGTATTTTAATTATTTTTCCCTAGATAAAAATATAATTAACATATAACTAAAAATAAAAGGGGCGAGTATAGGTGGGTAATACATGAGGCGGGCATGTACAAAATCATAACTACCTTGTTACCGGAAAGTAATTGAGATCTCTCTGGCGAAGGTAAGCGATTTGGATGTCGGTTCCCTCAAACTCGGAGGAGGCTCGGCCTCCTCCAGCACCGGTGATCAAGGGTTGGGGTGGAGGACGTTCGTTTGCAGCGGTGGTTGCTGGGGAGAAGACTGATCAGCCTTTGACAGCGAAGAATCCTTCGCGGTATAGGGGAGTGCCCTCGGTTGTCTTCCCGGAGGTGGATGTTCAGGTTCTGTCAGCCAGACATAAGTTGGCTTTAGTGGGGTATTTCTTTAAAGGTCGGCCTTCTATGCCTACACTCAGGAAAGCTTTTGACTTGATTGGCTTCAAAGGTAAATTTCAGCTTGGTGTTTTGGAGAAAAAACATGTGCTAATGAGATTTGAATCTGAGGATGATTATTTACGCTGTTTTAATCGGCAAATTTGGGATATTTTTGGTAATGAAATGCGTGTTACAAAATGGACAACTGATTTCCAACCCAATGTGGAATCTTCGGTTGTCCCAATATGGCTGAGTCTTGAAGGCCTTCCGATCCATTTACATGATCAGAGAGCACTTTTTGATATTGCAAGATTAATAGGGAGACCACTTAAGATTGATGCTGCTACAGCATCATTTTCAAGACCATCCTGTGCAAGGGTGTGTGCGGAAGTGGATTTGATGCAAGAGATGCCTAACAAGATTTGGATTCAATGTGGATCACAAGGTTTCTATCAGACGGTGATCTATGAAAATAGACCATTTTATTGTAGCCATTGTCTTCACCTGGGCCATTCTATTAACTCATGTTCAAAAAAGAGTGGCTCCAAGGAGACTGATTCAGGCGGTAATATTGTCAATGAGAAGTGGGTTGCTAAACCCAAACTTGTGCAGCAAAAGGAAAAAAAGCCTCTTATTATTACAGACAGGGATAATAGGGATGGGGTTCTGGATAATGCTATTCAGCCTATTCCTATTAAAGATAAGGGGAAGGGGGTTCTGGTTGGCAACATTACAATTCAACCTATTCCTTTTGAGGATAAAATGAAGGGGGTGCGGCTTGATTCTGAACCAGTGATCCAGCATTTGCAGATAACTGATATTCCCTCTACTTCGGGTCCTTTAAAGGATGTTTCTGATACCGAAGTAGAGGAAGTTTACACTGAAACTTTGGAGCCTACTTGAGGGACTGACTCTCAATTTCAAAGTTCTGATTTTGAAATGCCATTCAGCAATAAGCAAGGAACCCTTGTTGATGGCATTCCTCCCTCTCAAGTGTTCCAGACTGATCGGGCTTCAGATAACTACAATTCTCTGCAGATTATCAAAAGAAAAGAATATGATCCTACTATTTCTGCAAAAGGGTATTCATCTGTTAGGGCTCCTAGACTCTGATAGTCAACATAATTGTTTTGATGATGCCACCCTCCTCTTTATAAGTGTTAGATTATGGAATGGTCACTTATGCTTTGGGTTCCTAAAATCAACATGTCTACTATACATTCAAGTAGCATACTCACAACAAGCAAAAGTACTCTGTTCATTGTGACAAATAACAATGTAAAATCTATATACCAAATAAAATATACTGGAACGAAAAATGAAATAAGGTAAAATTGTCTTTGCCTTACATGGATATTTAAATCCAACCAGTATAGTTCTGTTTGATATATAGATTAATCAAATGAACAAGAAATTTGTACAAACTAACTGGAATACAAAATGCAATAAGGTAATAACTTTTACCTTAATAGGATCTCTTATCCTACCAGTTAGTTAGCTAGTTGTACAAACCTAAAAGTGACAAAATCACCTATGTAAAAGCTATGTACCAAATTAAACATACTGGAATTATAAAATGCAATAAGGTAAAACTGTCTTTACCTTACATGAATATTTAAATCCAACCAGTATAGTTTTATTTTGTACATAGATTAATCATGTCACTTTAAAAGAGAGTGATTAGTAAAATAAGTGACAAATTTGATTGTAATATTTTGTACCAATTAAGTTGTACTGGAAAGAACAAAATGCAATAAGGTAATTTTTATTTTACCTTTATGGGATATTTTAAAGATCCTACCAGTACAAAATTTGCTTGGTACAAAATAACCTGAGTCACATATTTTACTACACAAGTATGGCTGGTTCACACACTTTACTACACGAGTGTAGTTGCAAGACAATGCCAAGACCTAATGAATAGGTGAACAGCGAAGAGAAGGCCTAAGGTATGGGTTGACATTTCGTATGAAGCAAGTTGGCCTTCAAACAAATCCTTATCCTGCTCCAACACAAGAAGACGAAAGTACAATACTTTGGACGTCAAGGTTAAATCCTCTCAACCAACGGAGGAGATTAATCTACTGGAGAAGCCTATAAAAGTAGGCAGAGGCATGAGTTCAAAAACAAGTTATTGAGTTCAAAGCAAAGAGATTCGATAATCACACAAAGAATATCCAGCAAAAGAGAAAGTGTTTGAACACAACTTCACTCTCTGCTTTGACTCATGCTTCACTAAGCTCTTAGACTAGATCATACATTGTTATATTTTTAGAGCTTAGATTTTAGATGGTGGCCAGAAATTTCGTGAAACATTTCACAGTGTTATAAACACTTAGGAGAACAGTTGTTCGGATCCTAAAGTGTGGTTAGATAGATAGAGTATCTTTTGATCCCCACTGGATCAATTGAGAAAAGTCTTAAGGATTGAGTAACTTGGAGTGGTGTTATACTCCTCGTGAAACACCTTCAATCTAGGCCAGAGTTGTTAAGGCTAGATTGACACTAATTGTATTGGGCTTAATACTTTAGTGGAAATCCATTTGAAAGAGAATGGGACTGG